CCGCGTAGCGAGTAAGGTGGTCCACAGCAGTAACAATCCAATGATGACCGGCTGGCGTAAGCGGAAGAGGTCCATGTAAGTCTATGCCCACAAATTCAAAGGGAGTGGACGGGCATAGAAGCGGTTGCAGCAGCGGACGCGTTGGGTTCTGCCATCGCTGTTGCTTGAGGGCACAACCGTCGACCAGACCGGAGCTCCAGGGGTGACGGGTAGAGCAGGAGGACGTGGGAACCAAAGCACGCTCCACCACTTATGAGACCAGGTGCACGAGCCAAAGAGACCCAGCCCGCGTGACATACGAGGATGATCACTACAATGGTTTTTGTCATACAGATGAAGATGAAGTTCATAGTCAGCGCTCACAATATATATATATATATATATATATATAAAATAAAGGAGCACACTTACGAAAATTGGATACTTTTTTACACTGTTTCGGCCGTGGCACGGCCTTCATCAGCCGTGGCACGACCTTCATCAAGATGCCACGGCCGAAATGTAGAGTATCCAATTTTCTCGAGTGTGCTTCTTTATTTCTTGACTATATGTGCACCGGACCTGCAAAAATTTTTGATCTCTTTGAATATATATATATATATATATATATATAAATTGTCACTCGTCGCTTCATCAGCATTGCTGATTGAATGCTTAGTTTGGAAAACCACAGAAATTTTTTGTGCTTACTAGAACACAAAAATTTTAATTAACATCGATGTTTGGACCCTAGAAATCTACTCCAAAACGCATTATTCCTGCTCCCTGAGCTGCTCCTAAAGACTGAAGCCCAGTTCCACCCCTGAAATATGATACAGTGGGAATTGGAAGGCAATTATAGAGCATGATGGGAAGTCATCTGTAATCACTTAGGTGCTTGATGAAATTTCGAAATTTACCGTGCAAGCAGACAATCGCAAACAAGAGGTTGCAGTTCTTAACGACTTTTCTTTTTCCTATATTTTGAAAATTCTGTAGGTAGCTGGTGTTTTGGTTGGCTGGATTTTCGTGTTTCAAGTGTTGGTTTGACTCTTTGTCACTGGAACGGCATGTTCCATGCTGTCAGCGTTACTATCGCTTCACTTCAGTGTGCCTTTAGTATATTGTAGTTAAGCCAGCATGTGCCATTCTTCCATGTGAGGAGCCTGATTGATGTCTGCTATGTGGCTGATGGTCTTGTCTGCTTGCTTACATTAGTATGTCATTTCCTTTTGCACACTATTAAGAATTAGCACCAAAACGTTAGACATCCTGTCATACTACTCCACATGATCTCAAACTTCATTTTGTCTGCTCCTATTATACTTCAAAACACATTTCTCTAAAACATGCTCTAAATCCTAAACTGGCTGGACCACCACTGGGAATGTTTCTACATTCATGAATAAATTGTTATTATATAACTTTCTGGTTGGAACTGGTGTAATAATCTATGCAGTATACCAAAACAGCTGTTAACATTTTGGTTGTAGGGGTCAAGGTGAAGATTTGTGATATGCGCAAGGTTAGAAAGTGCATATCAGTCCCAGACTTTAAGCTGCAGATTATCTGCAAGATATGTTAAGGTCTTCCTGTGCACTCATTCACAAGAAAAGTTGGCATAGCCACTGCTGTTGGGTTCCAGAATAGAGATCTGCATTCACCCATTCCTTCCCCTCTCACCTTTCACCATAATAATCATATGACCTCCAATGTTGGCTGCGAGGAGGCTGCGTGTGTCACAGCATATGCTTGCATCGACCCAAGGGAAATTGACGGACTATCAGCAGCTGGCTGGCAGATGTTATGCTCTTTATACTTCTTTCCTTCTGTGCTTGCATGCCAAGCATGGGGCCAGTCCACTTAAGCAGTGAGAGATTACAGCCGGTGCACTATAGCTGTCTGTGCATGGACTTTTTAAGACGTTGACTGTTATCCTGCAATGGCTGCATTGTTGGCTGTCCTGTTGCTTTAGCTGTCATTGTTCGAGAAGGTTCACGATTATTCTAGAGCTTGCGTGGCGGCAAGTAATAAGGCTTGAATATTCGACGGTTCATGTATAAATGCTGACTCACTTCGCCACTTGTCAGTTGATCGACAGCCAGCGCTTTGTTCACCACTATCAGTGCCAGTGTGTATCGCTGTAATCTGACGTTCAGTTTACCAGCCACAGGCTAAATCAACAGTTTCATCTTCTATCTGCAGTCTGCTCCCTTAGTTCATATCGCGACCCCATGACAATATGATCTATAACTGCGTGGATCACACAAACATGCCCAACGACCGGTCATACAAAAACATTTTCACCAACTTAACCTTAGCGCATTGAATTCACTGTATTTCAGACTAGGAGTATCACCAATTCATATTGCACCGTAATTTATAGCAACCGTGATTCTATCGCCATAGTTTTGGCATGTTTTAGTGCACATTGCATTTGCTAGTGTATTTTTTAGTAATTTTGCTGGGGGGGTTTTGACACTTTTATTTTTTGGTGAGAATACGGCAATGCAATGTAGATTTTTGCTTATTTTATTGCTTGACAGATTTTCCACATTGTTTAAAATATTATATTTACTCATAATTCTCCCACTTTTTTTTTTTTTTTTTGAAAACTGCTGAAAAGTTGGGGAGTTGCAAGAGAATTGCGTGGTAAAAATTTTTCCACGAAAGTGTGCAAAACGAAAAAGGAAATGAAGTGGCCGGAAATTGGGATCTTAATACCCCCCCTTTTTTTAACCTCGTCGACCGCATAGACAATAAGTGGCGTTTAATGGGGCAGGTGGCAAAATGAATGAGAATATGTGCATGCTTGTGATGAAGAGTTTTGTGCAACTGTCTTCTGCTGTTCCTTGAACCTGACACCAGGACGCCCGGAACAGGCACTTGTAACTCGGCGGCCAAAGCTCGCACGTTCAGCTTAAAAAAATCGGCGGCTTTACTAATCAAGACTTCTTTTAATGATAAAATCACAGGTTCAACACAAAGCATGACACTATTTTGTCAAGGAGATCCTTGACAAAATCAAAAAGGGCCATCTTAACCTGTGGATATTTCCCTGTCGGAATCCCATGAAAAGCCCAGTGTGCCTTGTTGGTGGCTTTCAGCTGTTCGCATGCGGCACAATTGGTCAGAAGCACTTGCCTAAAGACACTTGCACTCTTTTGCCTCTGAAAAAATATGGGAAACATTCTACAGTCTTACGTGTGTGAAATTTGGGGAAGGAGCTGTAAATATATACAATTTAACCTCAGCAGGTAGCTGGTGAAATTTGTGTTGTTTTAAATTGAAGTGCTTTAGAAAATGAAATATTTAGCTTTTTTATGTATTAGAAAGATTAGAAAGAATGAAGTTATTAGTGTACTTCTAACCACAGTGTTAAAGGCACGCTTTGGTTCTGTATGTACCGTTTTTTCTATGGCCAAGACAGGTTGTGTAACTGGTTAACTTGCGATTATCTTTCAAGAAGTGTTGTGCGAGTGCACTTTACATACTTTCATTGGAAATTTAGACAGCAAAGCAGAGGTAAATTAATTGGCTAACTTGTGATCATTTGTACCAAGGAAGGTGTGTCTCCCAGGCACCTGGTATAGTGGCGTAATGTCCACGATGTGTTCTTGTTAAGGTTCACGCATATTTATATGCACTTTGCATACTGGAATACCACTTACTTTATTTCGTTTTATATAAGCTGTTCATAAGTTGGTGAAGTTGTTGCTAACTGTTTAAAGAATGTGTAGCGCCTAAAATTCTCCAGCAGGTGGCCGAAGAGAACAGTTGATCAAACCTTGTTATAATCTGATTATACAAAGCCACCTTACTTCAGACATGCAGCAAAGAATAGCAGTCTGGGATGTGAAAGTGTCTAGAAGTGCTACCTAATATTGTAAAATGAAATCAAGATAATGTTACTCACTAAGTGCATAATTATTAATTGAAATGAAAAATTCAGATGTACACTTGGATGCCCTCAAGGAATTTCAGTTGGAGTGCAGTTCACGTGTAAATACTCGTACTTTTCCCAGCTGTTGTAAACAGGTAGACCACAGCTTTGTTCAACAACTAAATAGAGTTCGAGACATTCAAACTAGTAGTACGTGTTCTGCTTCATAAGGGAAAAATCCGTTATGTGGTGTCTTATAATGTTGTCTAACAATCAGCTTTTATGAGGTCTTGAATACTAATTAGGTGTTCGCCTTAGTTGTGGACGACCTGTGCCTTGCTGGAAAATCAGCAATGCAGTCCACCGGGTGTTTCTAGTGGCATGGTTTTCATGACTACATGTTGACATTTTTTAGTGTTTCCCAAATTGTCTATAAAGCATTCGCGCTTTTTTTTTTTGTAAAAGTTCTTTTGGTGCGAATAGTGAAATTTTATCTCAAATTGATTTGAATCTAATAGTGCCGAATAGTTGCTTATAATATCAAATAAAAAATTTTTTATTGAATGTGGCGAGTGACTGCTATTCAACAACATGAGCTAGCTTTAGTCTTTCTTGCCGGGATGTTATGGTGTTTTCGGCATACATGGTTGAACTATGCTGGAAGTTCATGCCTTCATTTTCGAAGTGGAGTTGTGAAGGGCTTGGCAATTTTCTCAGTCTCTCTCTCGTTTTTTTTTTCTCATCTGGAAATGATATAATCTCCTTTAAAATAAACATGCATTTGCTTTTAAAATAGTATGCCAGTGAAAGTTTTAACCAAAGGCCTACTGCAACAATGTTAGCATTAGATTTAGCCACCCGACCTCACTCTAACCAAGTTGCGCTATTAGCCGTCATTGTGTTTCAGATATCCTGTCCTGTCAAATTAATTGATTTCAATCTGAAACTCGAATATTTGCACGCCTCTAGATGGATGCTACATAATTCGGCATTGGCATTGTCTGCTGTATCTCGTGCGGCGACATTTGTGACAATCTGGCTTTATGAACTAGTGTAAGCATTGGGGACGTGAAATGTGTGGTTTCATGAAAATGCTCGACCAGAAAACTTTTCAGGTGGTTTTTTGTAATTGCTGCAGGTGCTATGAGGTGGCAGGGACGCCATGGATCATCAGGAAGGCAGGGCAGCTTATATTTTCAGAAATTCCAAGCTCCACTTATGAAGAGGTAGGTGTTTACATTCCTATCAGTGTGGGTTCTTTCCCTTTGTGACGAGGAGCTGGGTTTTGCGTTTTTTGGTGCTTTTTAAAAACTGATTTTTAACATATGCTTTGACACATAGAAATTTTTGGGTGTCTTGAACGAAAATGTAGGGAAAGCGATGAGAGTTGGCGTGGTAACGATTGGGCAAAGAATAACGTGAAGAAAAGCAGCAGCACAGCGCATTGTCTTGTACCTTATGTTATTTGCAGTAATCTTTGGGACAGCTCATTTATGTCTGAAAGGCTGTTCTTGATTATCTGTAAATTGATAAACCTTCACATAAGCAGTGGTTGTTCAACTGGGCCGTTTTCACCCTTTTGCTACAATTTTACCGCCCTGCATCTTACTGCACCCATTCAAATGTATCTTGTACCAAGTGGGCAAGTTCTCATTTCACCTGCTTAAATGGCAGTGGGGTACATCTGGCTCAAAATATTCTTGGTTTAGCACCAAAAATACGCATCTTTTTCATATTGCTGCAGAACCCTATTGCCCTCTTTCCATCAATGTGCTTTTCCTTGTTATGTCAGCCTCACCAAGATATGTGCATGGAATTTTCATTGTTCACACTTCTTGTCTGTATAGTCTGAAAGCCCATTCCTCTTGATGCTCTTCATGAACTGGTGAAAGTACATGCAGAAGTGATTTTTTTCCCAGTCAATATGCTTTTCGTAATATAGGGCACTGGCAATGCAGCTATACCGTTTCAGGCTCTGCGTGTCGTAAATGGTGTCTTCGTGCATAGTACGTAGTAATAATTTCTGGGGTCTCATCTGCCAGAATGACAAGGCGTCTTGAGGCATACGACGAATCGGGTGGGCAATATGTTTGACAATTTCCAAAATATAGGTGTACCATGTCACTTGCGTTGCGGAAGTGCATGTCGGGCACAAAGTGGTGCCTCTGCTGCCTTTGCTCATTCAAACATCTGTCGTGCATCTTTGTTGCAAAACTGACATAATTCAGTGGTAAGCTATCGTGCATACAAATTGAGCCATGTGAACACCGATGTGCTGTGAGCCACAAGTAACACCCGACTGTGCTTATGCTTTCATTTTTCTATGCTTGGAGGCCAGAAGCAGGCAGCTTCCCTACCCTGTTTTCAGTTTGTTCAGTTTCTTTTCTTTCATTCTTTCTTTCTTTCTTTCTTTCTTTGTTTGTTTGTTTCTTTCTTTCTTTCTTTCTTTCTTTCTTTCTTTAACTAAGCATATCTGTTTGTGATAGTCTGAAAACTACAGCTAACTCCTCGAACTCGCACTCTCGAACTGGAAGGATACTTGAACCGCTTCAACAATCAAAAGCATATAGCATGTGCGGAACGAAGCAGCTTCTGGGTATACTCCAATCAAACAGAGGGGGGAAGTGAAAGAAGCGTATTGTGTGGACATCCCTCTTGTGCTAGCAAGAAGCCAAAGGTGAAATAGCAGCTGTTGTCTCTATCTTGTTTTATCGCTGTAGTGATCTTCCTGTCAGTTGTGCCCTTTCCTGTCATTTTTGGCTGCAGTAATTCTGCTGACCGTCGCTGCATATTGATGTCAGCATTGGTGTTGTGACTTGATGGCTTGATTAAAATATTAAATCTACTGTTATCGGTGCTTTGATCTATGCTAAAATTATCCTCAGCATTTAGTCTATGCAGCCCACAAATAAAAAATACAGCAAAACCTCGTTGATTCAAACTCGGTTATTTCGAAGTCCCGCTTAATTCGAAGGATTTCTGCGGTCCCGTATTTTCCAATGTAAGTTTGAGTGGATAATTTGAAGCGGCGGCCAGCACTAGTCTGGTTAATTCAAAAACTTTGTGTGCCATGTGCCAGTTACAGATCCCCATTTCGCCGCGGAAACGACGGCCATTAATTGCCACAAGACAATGCAATGTATCGATACTATTAAGTGGCAGCTGAAGCACCCAGTCTTGCTACTTATAGCTAAAAAAAATAAAAGAAAAAAACGGTCTCGTGGTCAGCTAAAGCGTGCACCTAAGGAAAACGAGCCCTGCTTCACTGCAACACAGCAATGACACGCGGGCAGCTTATCGCAGCGGGTCATGGTTTACCCATTCTTTCTGGGATTGTAAAAAAATTAATAAAGAACAGTTTAGCGGAAGTCCCGATGTATGCGAACCTCCGATTGCTGGTTGCTCCAGCAATTCGCGTCTTTGCAGTGCTGGCGGAGTTCTTGGCAGCGACACCTACTTCGAAAACTAAGTTTGAAAATTTCACAGATCATTTTTTCCAGCCAAAACTGGCAATTATTAAATTTATAATTATAATAGAAAGAATGTACGAATGGTCACATCATGACGTGCTAATGCAGCGAGGAGCAGGCGACATGCTGCCCGCGTGTCACTACTGTGTTGCAGTGAAGATGTCTTGTTTTCTGCAGGCGCATATTTCAGGCGATCATGACCGCGTTTTTTTTTTTTTTTTTTTTTTTCCGCTGGTAGCAGCGAGGCCCACAGTTCCTTTATGTTTGCGGCAAAAATAAACACCAGGTACTGCTGGAAAACGTAACCTTTGGAGCCGCAAGCTAGCCGGCACAGCAAACAACGAGCACCGACTACTTCGAAGCTTTCTTGCGGCCCCAGTGACTTCGAATGAACGAGGTTTTACTGTAGTTGCTTCAAAAGTATTCAGTGACGGCTTTAAAGCGGAAGAAAAATCCCTGTAACTCTACTTGTTCTCGACGAATTCGTAAAATATTTGTGCGAGTCTGTTCATTGGGCAGTAAACTTGTATGCTCAGGCCAATTGTTGATTAATTCAAAAAGCGGTTCAAGAAACTGTGAAATAGTTTCGCTATGATTTGGACTTGGAGAGGGTTGGAAAAATGAATTTTGTTAGTAATGGGGAAAAATGAGCCTCTAAAGGGGCCCTGAAACACTTTTTAAAGTAACCACGGAATGAATTCATTGGAAAGCTTATTGCTTCACGAATTCAACGTCGCAAAAATTTTAAGAATCCGTCCAGTGTGAGTGGAGTTACAAAGATTCGCAGCATGCTGCAATTGCATTCTCTCATCCCGACGAAAGCACTGGAAGCTAAGCAGAGAGGGATGGAAGGGGCAAAGAAAATTTGTCACCAGTGCCTTGTGACATTGAGCACATTTTTCCTTTTTTTTCTTATGATGTGCTGCTTTTTTAATGTAATCCCGCGCGCGATCTCTGTAACGACCGAGCGCGCCATGTTCAAATCTGCCAATGGCTGATAGGTGGACTTTCTACGAGTGATTTTCGAGCGTCTTCCGTCATTTGTTGAGAGAAGAGAAAGCAATTTTCAGCTGACTTTGATCATTATTGTGAATTCCACGCCACGTGCTGCGCTATAATATTTGGCTCGTGTGTTGTCGGGAGCCTCTAGTACCGATCGGCAGCGTTTTCTGACGATGCTCAAAAAGTGTTGCAGGGCCCCTGTAATTTGAAACGTGAGGCTAACAAATAGGCTTATATTTTTCTGTGTCTTGTTACTGTGTGCTCCTTCTAACCCTTTAATGCTCACTGTATTGTATTCGGTACATTGAATACAATACCTCAATAATGCTACTATAGGTGTTATGATAAGCAGCTATTGCAGATTTTACATGTTATGAAGAAGGTACAGTGATTTATATATTATATGATAATACTTAATAATTTGCATTTATTACTAAGTAATGTTTGCCTCAAATAAAATTTCATATTTTTTTAAAACTAAACTGTACAAGAAGAGTAAAAATACTCAGTGTTTTTTTGCAGTTTTTTGAAGGCATAACTGTTTGTGGGCATTTCAGGGTTAAATGACCTTGTGTGCCTGCTTTACACAGAAGCATGTATTTAAGATAAGTCTTTATGATGTATCAGTATTTAAAGTTTTGATAGAAAACTGAAAGTTCATGTAACTTCGAATTTGAGCTTCTCCATTTGAATGAAAGAAAAAATAAATAATGCTCTTCAATCCAAACTTCCTCAGGATTCCTACTATCATCAGTTACGTGTTACAGTGAAACCTCTGTGATACGATCATAGCTCATACGAATTTTGGAATGATACGAATTCAGGGTGTGTAGGCCTACTGTCCTGCAATATAATGGAATACGATTGTTGCAAACAGATTTTCACTTTTGATGTTTGATACAAATGTACGCTACTGCGAACGTATGAACGGGTGCTGCCCGCGCGAGAACCCAAGCACCAGCGTGCGCACCGCGATGCCAATTCGTCTGAATAAACCACGGTGAAACCAAGAAGGCAGGTTTCGTGTGCAATGGAGAGGCCCGATGAGCAGAGTGACAATGTTGCCGATGAGACTGTCAACGCTGACATGTGGTCCAGCCTTGTTGAAAGCAAGTTCGTAACCGCTACCGACACTTTCCAATAATTTGTTGATGCCGGAAAGTCAGATTGATTGATTGATATGTGGGGTTTAACATCCCAAAACCACCATATGATTATAAGAAACGTCGTAGTGGAGGGCTCAGGAAATTTTGACCACCTAGGGTTTTTTAACGTGCACCCAAATCTGAGCACACGGGCCTACAACATTTCCGCCTCCTTCGGAAATGCAGCCGCCGCAGCCGGGCTTTGATCCCACGACCAGCGGGTCAGCAGCCGAGTACCTTAGCCACTAGACCACAGCGGCGGGGGGCGCCGGGAAGTCATAGCTACCTGCCTGCGAGAAAGCCAGCTTAGGTGGCTCTACCGTTGCAGCGGTATGCGAAGGTTTCAATTGACGATGAGCCAGATGACGTGGACAAATTGACCCAATGCCAGAACCCGATTTCCTGTGCAAAAATGCATTGGAATACCTCACAAAAGCGAAAGGATTCTGCGCGAAAAACAATTAGAGTGAGAAATCAGTTCGGTGCTTGAGCTTTGTTGAGGACGAAATCAAGCAAAGCGCTGTTATCAAGCATCTCCAGACAAAAATAACGGCGTTCTTCCATTGATGCCAGACTTGGGAACTTGTTGCTGCGTTGTGATTGTGTTGA